AAGTAATGTCATAATCAGATGTATTATTTGAAAAGAAGAAAGATGCCTTCACTGTAATTTAGAAAAAGAAACAGTAATGGTGGTGACTTTCTGTATGAGCAAGAGTAGTATATGAGAGACCAACATTTCCCATGTACTCATTTCAAATGCTGAATTTGAGACACTTTGGGCCTCATTTTTATACATGCTGAGCAGACAATATTCCACACTTCGTGAAAGTCATGAGGTTCATAAAAGTCATGGCTTTCATGAAGGAAACCAGACTGTCTCCTTTTAGACGTGCAGAAATAGAGACACCAAAAATCACTGGCCAGTTTTGAAAACATTGATCTCTACCTCTCCCTCCCTTATTTTTCCCATCTGCATGGAAAAGATGATAATTACCCTAAATGAGAAGTGCCTTGAGGCACCTGCTCCAGGGCGGGCGTAGCAAAGTGCTATGTTGTTAATGAAGATGAGCAATGCCCACTGTACTGCACACAATGCCAACACTTAGATCATTTCTCACCCACCTCTGCTTTCCTCCCTAAACTGCATTTCTGTCTTCTGTGTCTTTCTCAGAGCTTTTCACACTCCTGTTTATTTCAAAATTTACACAGGAGGTTCCATAACAACATCAGATTCATTTAATTCTTCCACCCAGTGCAGCTATCTTAAAAGCCAGTTAAATCATTTCAGCTCTTAAAGTAATTTCTTGTCTCGGTCGGGCAGTGTGACTCTTTTTATAAGCTCAAAGCCTACTCTGCCTATTCAGGGAAGATTCCTTGTGAATGCTGAATCAAATCTAGTCTTCAGATCCCAATCTGTAGTTAAAACAGTCAGTCCCCCAGCAGATGCACTCAGGAGGTGATGGCAGATGAGTTTTCCTAGACCTTGAAAAAATGAACTTGTTCCCACTGTAGAGGTTGTATCTGAACATAGAGCTTCTGATTCTAATCTCAGTGCTGAGCTCGTGTATCTAATGGTCTCTGGTACCTTGCGCACAGTAAGGGAATAAGGAAGCTAGCTCTTCTGATAGTGAGGAGAGCCGTTAGTTAACCGCTAGAACCAGAGTAGCTTTGCTGTGGAAAGGAAGTGGGAGATTTAAGCAGCAAGGAGAAAAGAGCTTGCGGCTTGGGCACTGATTTAGGATACTGGTAGTCCAGGCTGTCTTCCCAGTTCCTGCACAAACTTCCTTAATGTTCATACAACGCAGAGATAGGAGCCTTTCTGAGGCCTGACTTTCCTTAGAGAGTAAACTCTTGGACAGAGAGACTCCTGTTTATTATATACATGTGTTTTTCCCTAATGTCAATGAGGTTCTGACTCTTAAGGTCATTTGAATAAATTTTCAGTTTGGTGGCTGAGCCAAATAAATCAGAGTTGGGCTGAAATCAGTTTGAACTGATCCATAGTAAAGATATTTGGGTTTTATTTGCGTTCACAAGAAAAACTGTAAAATGTTGCTCTGAGTTGTGGAACATACTTCGTTCCACCCAAAATGAAATCTTTCCCTCTTAAAATACTTGTAGTGAAAAAAAAAGTTAAAAAACAGGCTAACATTATAAAGTTGTGGATGGTTATGGCCACCTGTTCTGCAAATGCAAGCACTCACATAGGCTGTGTAAACCCACATCTGAATATCTTCTCTATCTGAGACGATCTGAACCACACCTCCCGTTTCTCACAGAAGCATCTTCTAAAAGCTGTTCTACATCCACCAGATTTACTCAGAGGGAGGAACCTTGCTTAATGTTGTGATCTGGTTTATCTTGTGCTTTGATCTTGTCGTAAAGCCAATACATTTCTGACATGCTGAAATAGTTGCTTTCGATGTTAACAACATTAACGTAATTTAACTATACTGCAAAGTTGATGGACGGTTAATCACTCTAAGCATGTGCTGAAAGAAGCCAGTTGTCAGCATCTCTTATTGTTCTTTGGGTTTGTTTTTTTTTTTTTTTTTAACTATCCAATGGACTCCTATAAATAGGCTATAATTTTCTATTGACATCTACAAGAGAGTGGAAAAAACATACAAATGATACCAACCTCCTGGGGACTTCTCTAGAAGGACTTCTCCTTTCTTTATTATAAAGAAATATGAAATAAAACTTATGCTGAAGGGATGCACCAACTATTTTGATCTAAATTTTAGATTATAGTGTTGGGAGGCCTTTTGCTGTAAAATATTTCTTGTGAAGTCTGAAACAAGCATAAGTTGACTCATGGAAGAAAAACTGAATCATAAAGAGTAGCTACTTGAATGCACACAGCAATGAACGCAAACGCCTCCATTGGTGCCCGCAAATTGTAAAATTAACTCTAAACACTTCAAAGGCTGACCAGTCCCCACCCAAGGAGAAAGAAGAGCAGGTGGGACAAAGAATGGACAATTCAAAAACCTTTAATTCTGCCTCTTTCAAAATCAAGACTTTTTTGGTGGTCTGCAGTCCAATTTGTGCCAGAAGTCCTGATAAAACACATCAGACTTCTGAATAGGGATCATATTGCAAGATGGAGCTCTAAACAAATACCTAAATGGTTGCATTCCCTATCTCATCCCAGAAAGTAATGCATCTTTATTCATCTTCTTATAATGTTTTTCTGTGCTTCTGCCTGTCCTTCTCATCCTAACTCAGGATCCATCCTGCCAGATGCTGAGCTCACTGTGGTGCTCATGCTGCCAAATGCTGAGTGTCTTTGAAACCATTGGAGGCCTGATGCATCTTGCATCAGGCTTATTCATTTGAGTTTTGTCACAGGGTCTCTGTTTTCCTTGGTTTCCAAAGGTTTCCTGATGGTCAGCAATGTTACATGGCAATAAGCAATAATATGAGTTGTTCTTCAAAAGGAGAGAGAGAAAGAGGAGGAAGGGAAGGAGGGAGGGAGAGAGGAAAGAGGAAGGGAGAGAGAGAGGGAGGGAAGGAAGAAAGGAAGGGAGGGAGAGAGAGAGGGAGGGAGGGAGGGAATTGCTTGCTGACAGTACTTGTTCCTGCAAATCCCAGGGTCACGGATCGATGCCAGTGTTAAGCATTCAGGGATCACTGAGCACTGGGCTCTACTATGTCATTTCCAGCGTGCCGTAAAAGCATATCCACTCATGATGGAGACAGAAAGGTCAATGTGTGACTTCTGTTGGACAGCTGTGCAACTTGCCAGCTGCAATGCTGTCATTATGCCCAGATGTAATGTAGGAAGGTCCAGGAGAACCCCAAATCTGTTCCCTGCAGTCCCTCTCCCCTAGTCTGACCTGAGGGAAGGGGCATTGACTCATCAAGACCTATGAATGATTTGGTTTGTGTGAGTGGCCCTTGATCACAGAATCACGGAATTTTCAGAGTTGGAAGGGACCTCTAGAGATCATCTAGTCCAGCTCCCCAGTGATGCTAGTGCAGTTACTGGATTAGCCACGCGCTGCCCTTTTGCTGGGTTTTGCTGAGTGCACCACTAGTTCCTGGGGCCTTTGGCTTCCCTGGGCTGGAGCAAACCAGTTCAGGTCCCTGCAGGCAGCCCCCTGGGGTGTAGAGACAGTAACCGTGAGACTGTAGAGACAGGACAAGACAACTGGAAAAGATTTATTATTGAGAACACAAATGCTTTATTGCTATTTATTTCTATAGTAATCTATTTCTGGCTCTAGGACACTGTACTTACGTGGTACGTAGCATCTGTGCTGTCTCTAGTGTTGGGGTCCAACCCCATTGCCTGCAGCTGCACTATTTGGACAGCAGGTGCAAGCAGAGCAATGAGGGTATGCTGGAGCTTGGCAGCGTGGTGGCCTTGGCATAGCAACAGCAGCGTCTGATGCCAGCATGGATATTGAAAGCCACGGCTCACAGAAGGGAAGCAGGCTAGCCCAGGGAGCCTGCATAGCTGCTGAATATGGATGCTGAAATGGAAAGGCAGGAAGCACCAGCCCTGGTGTAAAAGGACTGTTTGGTACAGGAGGCAGAATGGGGTGTGGTGAGGTATCAGATGCAGCAGAAGCTGCATCCTGGACACCAACCATGGTGTGGCTGCAGAGTTGTGGTGATAGGGATGTACAGGCCCTTATGATCTGTGTTGTTGCTTCAGCACGTGGCACGGTAGGTGTGGAGGTGCTGGGTGCAGATATCTGGGTGTCCTCCTGTGGAGCTGATGCAAAGGGATCATTCTCCTCCGCGGAAGCAGCTCCTACCACAGGCTGAATGTCTGGGCTTTTTCTCAGGCAGACTTTCTTCAAATCTGGGTCCAGTGAGAGTGCAGCTGCTGCTGTAGTTTTTACACCAGCACTTTGCTTACAGGGTCATAGCAGGTGGGGGTAATCTCACTTGAAATAGGGGTTATAATAGAAGAGTAAATAAAAAATGCAAAGGAGAAGAGTTAGTTGCCATCATTTTCAGACTGAGAAAAACAAAGCTATGATAACTAAGAGTTTGATTCAAAAAGGAGAAAGATGGATATTAAAAAGGCCTCTTAGGGGCATTTTAAACCTGAAGTGCGGCTGAATAAAATATTACAATATAGTTCTATTAAGTCATAACTCTTCTTGTGTTTTTGTCATTTGGGAGAAGTGTAGAATTTTCCAAAGCATAAAAATGGATGTAGAAAGCCAAATATCAGTGGTTTTCAGCCACTTCAATGTGGAATGAATATGTAGGTAATAATATGATGCTGACATGTATCTTGTCTGCATTCAGCAGATGCCACAAGAAAATTTAAATTTTTGGTACAGCAAGATATGGAGCAAGTACAAAAAAAAAAGCACAATAAGATGAGACTATTTTTCCGTTTCCTGGGCTCAAAGTAACCGGAAATAACTAAAACCTATTTTTTCAGCATTTCTGCTCCTCAGAAATACTACATCAAGAATTGCTGGGAACAACCAGAGAGACAAAATCAAGACAAAAATTCACTACCAAGGCTTGCTGCATATGAACATAAATCGATCCCACCAGAATATCCTGAGAGTTATTTCATGTGCAGAGGGACCTACTTTGCCAAGAGCAGAACCTGCTGCTGCTACTCCTTGAAGTTCATCAGGTAAGGCAGATACTGGAGAACCCTTCATTTTTTCTGAATCCATGAAGATTAAGCTGATGAATGAACATTTTCATGGACTCAGTTTCAAAAATTTGCAGAGGTCTTCTCACTTCCCATCTTTTTGAAGAACCTTTCAGCAAGCACTATGTTTCCAGCATCACCCCACCAAATTGACTGAAACCAATTACTTCCAACAATTTTCCAGAGTTTCTTCAGAAAGAAGTAGGATGAAAAGCTTTGCCAGAGCTCTCCTCCAAAAAATTAGCACCTATGTTCATGGACCAGGGTTCATCAGGCAAAACTTGATCATCCTTTTCTTCTAGTAGAGGCACAAAGGGACCATCACCAGCGGCTGTTCTATCACATACTGAAGTGGAAGGAGAAGTTGAGAATGCCGACTCAACTGTCTCATCTGGAATGGAAACCCAAGATGTTTCTGTTGAAGAAGGCTCCATTTTCGATTTTTTTTTTTCTCAGTTTGACTAAAATTTCCAGCTGTAGCCCTTTGCCTGACCAGCCAGGCTTTGTCCTGCTAGACAAGATGCAAGATGAAGGGCAATGGTGCCAGGTGTCTGGGGAGCACAACCGAAAGTTCTCAAATATCACCACAACACCCGTGGTGTGTCACAGACACATCACAGCATGGCCTCCGTCTCCTGGCAAAATGAAGCAGGGGCAGAAGAAGTTGCTAAATAGCAGTGGTTGCTTTTCATTTATAGAGCTGCAGTTTTGAGCCAAAGGTCGTAAAGTAAATAAAACTATATTTGCATTTTGTAAGTCCTGAAAAGCCAGTACTGCATCCCGTTGCCTTTGGGAGTTGGTCCTCCAGGAGGAAGAGGGAAGGTTGCAGTCTTAGCAGTAGCAACGCCCCAAACCTGAGGTTTTTCAGTTGGGCACCTTTCACCCATGCAGAAATATCTTCACCTCTTTGTTCTTATGGTGAAGCTCCTGCTTCCCCACCTGGGCAAAAAGTTTTGATCAGCTGGGCTGGGGCTGCAGCCATTGCTCAACTGCTGTGCTTGTGGAGCTGCTCCTCCTCTAGGCATGGCTTCCACTTCTCCATGTGGCATCCTGGCTAGCTCACTTCTTGTCCCCTTTATTTACCTGTGAATTCCCCAGCTCAGCAGTGCTGCTAAAAGAAAATAGAAATCTGTTTCCAATGTCTCCCCAGTTCTTCCGTAGAGTAAGCCACATTCTGTGGTTTCAGTAGCACTGCTGCTGTAGTGGGCTGCCCATGTATCGAGGTGATGCTCTCGGCTTTCAGCAGTGTCTCAGTGGCAGGGCAGCTCCATAGGATAGACTGTAAGTAAAAAGCTACCTAAGTACGTATTGCAAATGAAATAAACAGGAACTATGCATCTCAGCCCTTTCTTGGGATGGCTTCCTATGCTTTTATTTGGTATTTACCCTTCAGAAACCAAATCAGCAAAACCAATGATGCTCCACCAAGCTTTTAAATTCAACCTTCTCTGCAGGACTGCATGTTTTTCAGTAAAGGAAAGATTTGATTGAGAGCCTGTAGGAGTCAGTGATTCTCTTCCTTTCAGCATTTGGATCCGGCCCTGGGAGTTTTATGAAACACTGGCAGAAGCGTGAGGACAATAAACATGAGAACAATAAGCGTGAGCCCAAGAAGCACTGGAACAATACAGGCAGATCTCATAAAAGCTGTGAGTTTGGGCAGAGAGAGAAGGGTCTCCTTGAGCTGCCTGAGCACCACTGAAGGCCTGGCCCAGACAGACGCACAGAGCAAATCAGCTGGACTTTGCTATTCACCTGCAGGGAAAGGGTAGGATGGAAAACAAGGGCTGTCCATGCAGGCTGAGAAACTGTTGCTGGGCCGAGCAGAGCAGGGACAGCCGCAGACAAGCTTGCAACAACTACTTCAAGAACTAATACAGTAACTGTGTTGAAAGAACAGCTACTCGCAGGAACCAGTACAACTAACACACCTAGTGTGTTGCTTTACTAAAGTTCATGCAAACGTGACCATATGAAAACAGGAATGAGGAAAAAAGCTTTAGCTATTATTAGCTAGGTAGCACCATCGCTCTCTCTAAATACAGAGCTGAGGCTGTCAGTGCAGTCCCAAGACCCAAGGATGGTTCTTGCACGGGCTGGCAGGCAAGAGAGCCCTTATTGCTCTCTCTGCTACTGCTTCCCCGCGTTGCCTTGGGCATCACACTGTTGCTGCTGTTGCCCTCTGTTTTCTGACTTGTCCTGTGGAGGGGACCAGCCTCACCACTGCCAAATGCTTGGAGCTCTTCCACTTGTAGCCGCAGAGAGTTACCTATTCATTCATCCTGTTTACATCATATCAGCTTGTTAAAAAGAAAGGCTGTCTGGTATGGTTAGCTTAAATGCGGATGGAAAAAATATATCTACCCAGTAGAATCATAGAATCATAGAATGGTTTAAGTTGGAAGGGAACTTGAAGATCATCGAGTTCCAACCCCCCTGCCATAGACAGGGACACCTCCCACTAGACCAGGTTGCCCAAGGCCACATCCAGCCTGGCCTTAAACACCTCCAGGGATGGGGCCTCAACAGCTTATCTGGGCAACCTGTTCCAGTGCCTTACTACTCTCAAAGTGAAAAATTTCTTCCTAATGTTTAATCTAACCCTGCCCCCTTCCAGTTTAAAGCCATTCCCCCTTGTCCTGTCACTGCATGCCCTAGTAAAAAGTCCTTCCCCAGCTCTCCTGTAGGCCCCCTTTAGGTACTGGAATGCCACAGTAAGATCTCCCTGGAGCCTTCTCTTCTCCAGGCTGAACAACCCCAACTCTCTCAGCCTCTCCTCATAGGAGAGGTGCACCAGCCCTGGGATCATCTTTGTGGCCCTCCTCTGGACGCACTCCAACAGGTCCATGTCCTCCTTATGTTGGGGACTTCAGTGCTGGATGCAGTACTCCAGGTGGGGTCTCACGAGAGTGGAGTAGCGGGGCAGAATCACCTCCTTTGACCTCCTGGACACACTTCTTCTGATGCAGCAAACTGATTTGAATTCAGTAGACTATTTAGTACCTTGTATGTAAATCCTTGCTTTAAATTTGTGAATAGTACAAGTGAAAGTAGGAAATGTGGAAAAAAGTACTTCCTTGGAGACAGTGCTTGAAGGGATTTTGAACTGAATTCTGAAAGACAGAACTTGATCAGTTCCTGTCCCAGAGACTGCTGAATTTCTAATTTAGGTGTACAGTTCATAGCCCATTTGAATCAGTAGGTATTTTTGTTTGGCCGTAACTGGGTAACATGTGCAAACTTTAATTTGTGTTTCCTGCTACAGTTGTTAGCCTTTTGGGGATTTTTCATGGATCATCTAAATGCCAGAGAAAAAGCCAAAACTTATTTCAGGTGTGATGTAATCCACTTTATGGGAGTCTTCCCAGCGACTGATCTGGTTTATTATTCTCAAATCATTATGAGTGTTTCAAATGTAACCAAAATTAATTAAAGGCTTTCAAACCTCACTGATACTCAGAATTGCTGCAATAATTTTGCATTTACTTATGAAAAAGCTTCCATAATTGTAAATGCTTAAATACATTAACAGAAAATATTTGACTGTAATCTCGTCCTTCTGTAAGGATTTGGAAAATTGAGTGCTGTAATAGCCGTTCTGATTCTGTTTGCTTGCAACCCAGCTAATGTCTCAACTAAACAAAATCAACCAAAACGCATCAACATTTATGCTCACAGTGTTATATTCACTTTGAAATGTTTGAAAATTAAAATGGAAAATAAACCACTGGAGTTATTCCAAGACCAACCCATCAAGACTGTCTTCTCAAAGGCAGCATTTATCATTAAGAACAGGTTAGACCAGATGTGGGCTTTTTAAACTCATACATTGTCAGAGATAGAACTTGACAAAACCCATAGATTTTAGAGAATGCAAGGCCCCACCTCCCCCTTTTACAACTTACTGTACCAGGCAAATGCCTCTGATTCACCCCAAACTTGAGAAAAAAAACTCTGAGAATCATTTAAGCAATAAAAATAGGAGAATATAGTTTTGACAAAGGTGATAGTTATTAATCAGGTTTTTAACAGAAAATGAAGTGCAATATTGACTTCATTACCAATTTCTGGTAAACCTAGGAGATATCGTCTGTTAACAACTGCCAGGCAAATTTCATCAGCTGTAAAGTGTCCTGCACTGTTCCCGCAAAGATCGTCATCCTTCTTTTTCCAAAGTCACCAAAAGCTGAGACACATTTTGTTTCCATGTAAATGCAATTGTAATGCTTGCTCGTATTGATAGCTTGCGTTCGAGGGACTCTAACCTCCTTCCATCCATCTTTTGTCTGAAACAAAAATCTCTTTGCCTGCTCACCTTGGGACACTGAAGCTGCCGCAGCACTGCTTTTCCTCTGAGGGAAAAGGGACAAACCTCTGCTTTGCCAGCGTTATAAGGACTCCCCTGGTCCTTGCAGTATGTTTTTCTTGGATACACTGCAACTGTAGGTGCTACTTAGGCTCTTGCCATGGAAGTTAATTTTCCCATCAGAGAGCAAGCAAGCTGGGGAATATGGGAAACAGAGGCAAGGATTGTTACATTTCTATGCAGAGACTCATCTGGCCACCAGCCAGGGAAGCCATCACTGCAGTTGTTTAGTTTAAAAAAAAAAAAAAGTATGAGAAATGTAATATTTGATGACAATCTAATATCAGAGTCCATGACATCACCTGCTTCCAGCTGCTGATTAATCATCATGTGAAATAAATTCATTTGGACACGGAAGAGTGTGAATCTAACTACTGGGACAAATAACTGCATTCAGAAAGGAAGTAGGAGGGAAGAATTTATCAAGTGTTTGGTCACATTAAATCATTTATTTTAGAACAGCCTCAACCCCCAATTCTCTCTGTCCCTGTCAGATTCATTACTAAATCCTCATGGCCTGATTGCGCTCCTGAGTGATTCAGTCTTTTGGCTTCCTCAGAACTACTGCAGGTTTCCCCTTGAGCAGAATTGGCCATCAGCTTGATGGAGAGGAGGTGAGAAAATGGCATGGAGGGAAAATAAAACCACTGACAATGTAGGAGTTTCAGTGAGGCTGAGCAGTGAAAGAGTCCCTGGCATGGGTCTCAAGAACTTTGGGGAGGCTTCCTAAGGCACTTACCGCTTCCAGTAGCACGGCTGTTTTGGCGCTCTCGTTCTCCTTATCTCAACTTTCAGAAGTATTCCTAAGAGTTCACAAGACCTGTGTATACGTGCCACTTCCCATCTAGATCAATCTCCCTGGGA